CTTCAGCTCAGATGAAGAAGTTGCCCATAAAGTAAAACTAAAGTATAGATGAAAATGATATGTAGAGGAGAAAAGAAAACAAGATAAGTTTTCCACATTTTTCTTCATTTTTCTTAAGCTCAACATATGTTGTTTATATAGGGGTTGAAAAGAGCCGTTACAAAATCCCTCAATAAATTTCGTAACGTTCGTCATAATGTATAGTCATTATGCCCATTTTAATTACAAATTAAAACACATTAAAACATATTTTAATTGCATATTTTAATTACAAAAATTTATTAGAATTTATTAAGGCAAAATTGCCTTTTCTTTAAAAATATCCAACAATAAATGCCACTGAGATGACCAAATCGCAAGATCATTCAGATTTGAGGGACTAATATTTCAATATTCCAAAAGGGAAGCAGGATTATCTGCATACATAGCCCTTACATTTATGGGTATTTGGAAACAAACCCTCAGAATCTAAGTATTTACAAAACTACCCAAATCATTATTTTTTGAAGAAAATTACTCTCAAAGCAATTAATCAACAACTTTGATAAGCTAATTTATATTCACAAAGTAATTATTAACAAAATTGTCAAATTTTTAGCACCAAGTTGATGACTTATTGATTTTAGACGTATTTTTTTTACAAAGTCAATGATTTGAGGGGTAGCTTTGCGAATACTAACATTTGAGAATTATATTTGGAAATACCCATGATGTAAAAAAAAACAGGGAAAAAAAAGCTATTTAAAAAAACAGGAACAAATTTTGTAAACACTCATTTTTGGACTTTTAATCCAAAAAAACACATTATTTTGCACTTAATTACAAAAACCGACCTGGTTTCAGCCTCAGTGCTGAAACCAGGTCGGTTTTTGAAAAAAAAACTTCCGAAACTTCACGGAACTTCAAGTCCCGTGAAGTTTAGCAGCCAAATTGTTAAGCTGCTAAACTTCACGGGACTTCAAGTTTCGTGAAGTTTTTGAACTTTCAAACTTCACGAGACTTCAAATCCCGTGAAGATTCAAATTTTTAAAAACTTCACGGGACTTAAAGTCCCGTGTCCCGTGAAGTTGCACTTTTCCAAAAAAACATGCACATCTGTCTGTGCATGTTTTTCATATGCGCAAGGTTCACCTGTGAACAATATGATATTTCATATAAACATATAAACATATATAAACATATAAACTTTCAGTCATGAATTAAACACAAATCTAACTTCACACACGAAGATCACATATATAAACAATAATTGATCCACAAAATTATTGATTTGTAGATTCATAAAAGTTACAAATTTTAACAAAATAAGATCACATACAACTCATAATTCCTCCTCTCCTTCCTCTCACTCTGTCTCGATTATCTGAGTATCCGGTTGTGTATAAGGCTGAGAAGTGCCGACTCCATCAACTTGAGAAGTGCCGGCTCCATCAGCATGAGAAGTGTCTGCTCCATCATCACGTGTCCTACGTTGTTGCGTGTACGCTTGCCCAAATGATCGTGACTTGTCCTCACGGCCTGCAAACTCGTCGATGTGAGTCCTACGAAACACCTGGGCTATTCTCTTCTTGATCCTGCCGAGGAGCCCTAACATCGTCGTCGGATCCTGAAACTCAGGCATGTGCGCATCAATATCAGCTTCAATATCATCAAAAGCTACGACCTGCAAGTTAAACAATATATACACAATTTATTAGGTATCTATGTATAAAATTGCGAGTTAAACAATATATACACAATTTAGTTTAGAAACTTATGTAATCTCTCTCGTTCATCCCAATAGGGATGTAACTGTCTGTCGGTAGGCGTAGCACGTACCCAGCTGATGGCTGTGGGTCACGCGTGATCCATCTACGCGTGATATCCTAATACCAGCGCATACACGTGGTATAGTCAACAGCCGTGTCTCTCTCATTCTGTATGAAATCCCACATGTGCGTCCACCGGTCTATGTAGTCCTCACGGAGTACGGTCCAGTCGGTCCGATGCGATGTAGGTCGCCGCCTACGATCGATCACCTCAACAGGATCCAGCACATGCTGAGAAAGCAGAAATTGGCGTAGCATATGGTCGGGGACATGCATCTCCACGATCTCCCAACAGATCAATGGAACTCTGGCTCTCCACAAATCGGGACTATCCCGATAGATAGGTGTAAGAGTATGCATTTCGAAATCTGGCAGTGAATAGGGTCTCTACTTGAACTGAAATAAGATAAAATATTTTTCAGTATCAACAACAAAACTATAATATTCATACGAATCAAGTTCTATATTTACATGTTCATGTTGGAGGACATCAAGCTCATTTCTATAAAACTCACGATGTCGCGTCGTATATTTGTATTCAGCGAACCGCACGTTATACCTATTTGGCATAAAGAATATATGAGTACAAATTCAAAATGAATAAAACATTGCATACAATTATACATGTATGCCAAAGGAAATTGGCCCTGTAGGTTGCGGAGCACAACCAAAGTAGGACGTCCAATGTAAATGCGTTCCCAAGACCAAATTTGGATCAACGTGCAACATCCCTTGAACTCTTTATTCTGCATCAAGGATACTCTACCCAGTTCTCTATACAAGTATGTTAACACCGTACTACCCCACGATAGTGTACTGCATACACCCAGATCCTCTAGGAGTGGAAGCCATCGTGCATGTACAAGGGTCTTGCTCGCATCAGGAAATAGCGTCAACTCTATCATATGCAATATGTACGCACGAGCATGATAATGAAGCATCTCAATGGAGGCATATGCTGGTATATCTCTCTGAAATCCCTGAAATGCCTGAAGTGCCCGCCTACTCTTACACCCGAGCTTGAATTTAGCTTCCAAGGACATTTCACATTCCCGTCGTGGTGTCCACCGTTATCTTCGTCTTCGCCATCTTCACGATAAAAACAAACCACATTATAGCTTGTTGTGTTATTTTTTTATTGGCCTAAACTTGACATTTTTTGCAATGCATACAAGCGAAGCGCATGGGTCAATTTTCCTTACTTTCAAATAGACCCCCTTTCATGAATGAGAAGTCCTCGCCTTGTGTATGATCAACAATATTAGTGCCGATAGAAATATTTTCCATCATGGAGTTATCAATCCATTCTTCTCCTTGAAGTTCATCGGGTGGCGGATCCTCTAACACGACGTACTCATTATTAGTGTAACATCCGTCAATGTGTTGGTTGTCCCCTTCATCGCGATCTATCAACGTCATGCTATTAATTTGTAAGCCGTCCTCTTCATCACCATCCTCGGATTCAACACTTGCATTATCATCTTGATGGGCCGTGTTAGTATCGAAAGCATTTGACATGCCCACAAACGAAGGACCGCTCATGTATTGTGACCGTGTCCAACCTTCATCCTGTTGCGGAGATAAAAAGCCGACGGAGTCAACTTCAAGGCCCTCCAACATGCGGGAATACATTCCGTCGTGATTACCGATTTGCCCAAATTGCTCTAATATTTTTCACTAAACAATTCCACTGAACACTTCTCGTCGTGTAAGACTCTAATGAGACCCATATCATAGTCACTTGATATTTGAATGCCGCTTGTTCTATTCCCCCCAACGGGATAATTGCAAATAACATTGAGTTGATACTCACGTGAGTTGGTTAATACAAGTTTGTGTAATTCATTAACCAATTCATCGAAAGTACACGACTTTGATATAAACAATGGCTTCGTCACACCTCCTTCATAAACGGGCATATTATTTTGGAGATAGTTAATCTTCCCATCATATGAATAAAGAACTAGGACTCGATCGTTCATCATTACCTCTGAGGAGTAAAAAATTCAATATTAATATTAGAAACTCATAATTTTACATAGTGAATCTCTTAGACCGATACTAGAAATTTTAACCAAAATGTTAACCAAGATATGGAGAAATTTTAGCCTAATTTTAATATTAGAAATTTTAACCAAATGTCAAGCCTTAATATTAACTTCACGGTTACAAATTTTGATATTTTCCTCTCTAACCTCATACACAATATTGTTTAATTTTTCTTCGCAAAATGCCCAAAATATTTCCAAATTTATTTAAAAGCTAATTTCTTACAAGTAATCACCAAGATATTGAGAGAATATATATAAAATTAAAATAGATTTTTTTAAAATTTACCTTAATTTTTTAACGATGCCCTAATTCCGATGATCTCCGACGACGACAGCGGCGATGATGGCCGGCGGTGGGGGCGGCGTCGGTGAGGGGAGGTGAGGGGTCGGGTGAGGATGGACGGAGCTAGGGTTTTGGGGGAGAGAGAGAGAGAGGGTCGGGTGAGGTTAGGGTTTTGGGAGAGAGAGAATGTCGGGTTTCAGGGGAATGGGAAAAGGGAAAGGAAGCTGCGTTGGGTTTTTATAGGAGCGCAACTCCACTCCACGGGACTTCAAGTCCCGTGGAGTTACAGGGTAGATTTTCTAGAGAAAATGGACTCTCTGAAAAAATCGACCCTGTAACTCCGCGGGACTTAAAGTCCCGTGGAGTGTCCCATGGAGTTACAGGGTTGATTTTTCCAGAGAGTCGATTTTCTCTGGAAAATCTACACTGTTACTCCACGGGACTTCAAGTCCCGTGAGTTTTTAAAAATTCAAATCTTCACGAGACTTGAAGTCCCGTGAAGTTTGAACGTTCAAAAAGCTTCACGGGACTTGTAGTCTCATGAAGTTTAGCAGCTTAACAATTTGGCTGCTAAACTTCACGGGACTTAAAGTCCCGTGAAGTTTCGGAAGTTTTTTTTCAAAAACTGACCTGGTTTCAGCGCTGAGCCTGAAACCAGGTCGGTTTTTATAATTAAATGCAAAATAGGGCGTTTTTGGGGATTAAAAATCCAAAAAGGACTATTTACAAAATTTGTCCAAAAAAACAGTATCAAATGCTCAACGGGAAACCTGTGTTTGCATTTATCCCGCTGTCAACTACTTTCAGAGAACTGGCATCATTTTTCTCATTTAAGGACTATATAAAAACAGAGACACAACATCCCCAAGCACTTTCTATTGAACCATGTGAAGCATTAAAAATCAAAACTAAGTTCTGCTTTCTGGTTATGTCCCTTTGCTCTTACACAAAAAATGCAAGTGATAGAAACACGACAAGATGGGATTACAAAATTTCCTGCTCCTCCCTTGAATAGCAAAATTGATGACTCCATCACTATCACAGTGGGAAATTACATGAACAGATATGACAACAACAAGCAACAAGAAAAAAATTCACAAGTGCAGTGATCCAAAAGCCTTTTGACGATTTTGCATTCTTAACTCTCATTTCAAGATGACGAAAATAGACTTCATGATCCATCCACTAGGTACTATAGAGATATCATAGCCCACGTACGCATTTGCAACAAAAGAGAGAGAATTCAAGATGGACCTTTGATCATTCTGCCACTGTATATTAAAAACTCTATCTAGGCCTCGTGTTCCCAAGCTTTCTTGCGTTCTAGTCATCTATATCCAAGACAAAAATGTGACACTTTCATGAGGCTGCTGCCGCAACTGCGCATAGAAAGACTTCACGGTGTACAAAAAGAAGCTTCCCTGAATTCTAGTCATCATCTATAACCACACACTGCTTATTCTGAACACAAAAATTAGACTTTGGAGGACGAACCTTGATGGCTTCCTGCCCAAAAGGAACACTTAAGAAACCAAACTCTGCCTCCTCATCATCGCTATCAATGTCTTCTGGGGTCATTCTGTTCTGGTAACTTCTTCGAGCGAGAACAAACACATTGTAATAATAGCTAACGAGCTTTTTCCTTCCCTTTAAAGGAAAAGCCAAACGCAGCTCATCCCATAATTGTTCAGAATGTCGGTTCAGACTCACTACAGTCTTGAACTTTTCTGCTTCTTCTTCTGTCCATGAGAGTGAAATTTCCTCACCCATGTGATCAAACCTCCAACTATTGAAAGCAGAACCGAGCTCGCGTTTCAACTGGACCCTTTTCTCTGCTACATGAAATCTTACACACTCTATGGAGCCAGGTCGTTCACATTTAAAGCAATCTTTCCGGCCTTTTCCAATAGAATCCTGTTTAAAAAGAGAACTTGTTTGGCCTTCTGGTGGCCAGATAGGTGTACCCAGCCATTTAAGGTCATCAGAGGTATAGGAAGCTGAACAAGACTTGTCAATCGAAGGTGGCACCTTTGCTTCCCGGTCCTCATCCGCCACCTTCTTCTTATGTTTCTCTTTTTTACCTTTCACTGAACTTTCGGGTTTAGGCAAGCGATCCATGAAATCATCCAATTGAGACAAAACATCGGAATCATCCAATTCGGATGATGAGATAGAATTTCTCAGCTTTTTTTTGCTTGTACCAGTCTCCACCCCCAGTGAGTTTGTAGCATGCTGCCTCGAGCTGTATCTACGTCCCTCAGAAGCCAGTGTGGCAGAATCAATATTATTGTCTTCATAGATGGAAGGATGCATCTTTGGCCCTTTCTGCAAAACCAAATTCTGTAAATTATTTTTCCTACTCCAGCATCGATATAAAAGAAACTAGGAAGCGTGCATTCTTGAAGGGAAAAAATTGACAAAATATATCTTACAGAAACCATCAATCTTCTTTATATAGACTTCTCCCATATTATCAAAGGATCCTGCCACTGCACCAAAATTCCATAGCAGTGGTAAGGGTTGAGATCCTTGGAGGAAGTAGTGGTGAGGGTTCAGGATTATAAATTCTATACTCTAACATGCCTCTGCAGTTTGAGCGCTCTTTTATAGGCTAAAGCCTAGACTCATGGAGCAACATTTTTCATTCAATCTTCTTTAGGACGAGTCCGATCAGAGCAGGAAAGCAGACAAAGAATTTCCTGATTGACAGCTGTGTCAGACGATAGTTCACTCAGAGCTGTGGAAGGTTCTAAGCGGTAGACAGGTGGGGACTCAATAGGTGAAAAAGAAGCATACGAAACTTATGCCCAGTAAGTTGAATGCCATATGAATAGTCCCTGCCAATTCACCAAAACGCCGAAGCTGTGGGGACGATTGAGCGTTATAATTTTATACTAAACACATATATCAGTTATCCTCCCATTTGATACTCAAAAAAGGCAAGCCTTGCAATTAAGGATTTTTTGGATATTAGTCCCTCAAATCATTGAAAATGCTATTAAATTCCACATCCCTTATATCTTGCTATTGCTTCCCTCAATTAAAGAGATTAATTTGAAACAACTTATAAGAATTGGCGGACCTAATAGCATTTTCAATGATTTGAGGAATTATTTTTGTAATTTATAAGAATTAGGGGAACCTAATAGCAATTTCAATGATTTGAAAGACTGATTCCAAAATATTAAACTCGTCAAAAAAATGTCAAAATATTAAAAGATATAAGGAACTAGTTATCACCAAGAATGTCCCAAAAACTGGAGGTAAGTAATTTGTTGGATATTTCACTAATTTCCGAGTTAACCACAAGAAAGCGGTTAACATTGTTATCTAGTGTATATCCAATAAATGCAGCATCAATAGTTTTGAGGCCAATCTTCCTTTTCGTTAGTTCAGGTATTTCAACCTTAGCCAAGCTTCTGTAGACTTCGAAATAGTCAATTCTCAGAGTTTACCCTTTTCAAGGACTAATATTACATATCAGAGAAAGCCTAATAGTAATTCAATTTGAACCACAAATTTATGGCCTAACATGGGTTCCTCAAGCTTGGTTCAAGAAAATCATATGGTGATGACAAAATGCATTTCACATAGCAAGCACAACCACAAGCGCTTACAAGTTAGTAGGACCTTTTTAATTAGTATAATGGTCCCCATTACATGACATGAATAATAGCTTTAACATACTGTGATTTAGAACTTCCTACATCAGTAAGTTGTCAGTTCAGATAACTGAGAAAACAAAATATTTGTGGGACCACAAAAAATTTCACTCTGTTCTATAAATTGAAGAACTCTAAAGTGCATTCAGAGGGAACGTATTCATTGCAACAATAAGTAAAACATATAATTGAAGTTGAAATCTTGTCAATGTGGCAATTTTAAATTAACCAAAAAATATACCACTAAAAAATCTCGGGGAGTGTCCAAACAACCATATAGTTAAGTTGAAGGGAAAAATGCTTCTAGCCCCATTGCAAAAACTTTTTTTGAAAAACAAGCCTCCCCCCCCCCCGCCCCCCCCCCCCGCCCCCCCCCCCCCCCGCGTCCCCCCCCCCCCTCCACACCCCCCCCCCCCCCCCCACCGCCCCTCCCCCCCCCCCCCCCCCCGCCCCCGGCCCCCCCCGCCTCCCCCCGCCCCCCCCCCCCCCCCCCTCCCCCACCCCCCCCCCCCACTATGTTGAAACTTTTCTCTTGCCTTCACCCGGTCCGTGACATAGAAAACCCACATGATTTTTTTAGAAAACCCTCAAATATCCTTGTCTTCAACCATTGATTCTTTTTCTCACCTCTGAACCCACAAAACCATGAACTCATTGTGCCCTTAATCTCCACCTCTCGTTGCTCGCATGCCACCTTCATCTCCTCCCTCTGCCACCTCCCTTCGCCTCCCCTCCGCCCCCCCTAAGTGGCAGGGCGGCTGGGGTGAAGGGAGGTGGCTGGGGTGGAGTATATGTTGGCGGTGAAGCAGCAAACGGTAAAATTTTACTAAAGGTAACAATTCACAACTAATGGCGTAAAACTTTAAAACAAGTTAACCGTTAAAGTTACAATAAATAGCTAAATGTGACAAAATTCGACATAAAAGGAAAAAAACAAATCTACCATAACTGTTGATGAAGTTACAATATCAAAGGTACGCTAACTACAAGCCAATGCCTTACTAGTGTTGTTAAATCAATTCTATCAATTATGGTCCTCTTAAACTCAAATCTATGGTTAAGAGTTAAAAAGAAAAGAGAGTTCTAACTAAAGATATTATGATGAAAAAAGACACTCATAAATAAAGGAGATCTTAGAAGAAGGGCTGAAAAGTCTTAACTTTTTTAAGAGTAAGCTAAAGTATCACATCATCTTCACAGTTGCTAAAAACAAAGCTTTTCATATATACATCTTCCTGTTTAGTAGACATGCCAATAACCTGGATTAGTGTTGCAGTGAAACCTGTTTAGCTTATACTTCTCTCACCTTATTGTTTCTAGTTTGTTACATTCAGCTTGAGTTACTCGTTCTATGACATAACATATAGAACCATATGGAGCTACACAGTGAAATAATGGAATCTTGGCTGCTAAATTTCACTATATGATACCTAAGTACCCTAGAAAAGAGAACTAGAACTGCATAAATTGGGCTGACATTCTACAACAAACTCTTCAGCACCTAAATACCCAAAAGTTCTGCGCTATAACACATGTTAGCCCAACAAAAAGACTATCTCATGTAATATTTCTATCAAGCCATGCTAGACGTTACATTTGTTGCAAATAAATTACACAGACTTCCGACAAAAGACCATCAAATCATCTTAGAAAGGGTACTTAAATACTTAAGATTATCTTTTATATACATTAGATATTTTGATATTAATGGGCATTGTGATGCCCCACTAATAGTCCCACATTGGGAAATTGATGGAGTTTAAGAGGGTCTAAATGATAGGTCTTGAGAGTCAAATGCAACATTAACTAGTCAATTTTTGTGAATTGTGCCAAACCACGTGCTGCACTCAGTAAGTCTCCAAGTCCTACAACATGCCAACATGCTTGCGAATTCGGGGCGTGACAAATGGTATCAGCGTAGTTAGCCAGCCGAAAATGTGGAATAACGTGCTATATGAGACTAAGTGTTACACTGTGGGAATACGGTAGACACAACCTCTAGAACCCGTCAAAGCCATCTCTAGAGCACAAATCGCCTAACACTGATACTGAGATGTGCTATAACTTTATGCTGAAACGAGGACATCGTGTATTAAAAGTGGTGATTACGATGTTATAGTAATAGTCCCACATTGGAAAATCGATAGAGTATAAGAAAGTTTAAATGATGGGTCTTGAGAGTCAAGTGCAACATTGACTACTTGGTCAACTGAGGCAAACCACTTGTTGCACTTAGTAGGTCCTAGGATTTACATTGTGTCAATAAGTTTGCGGATCTGGGGTATGACAACATAATAATGCAAATTGGATAATATATTCCAAGACATCAAACATACATTTGAATTCATACTTAATACTTGGTGGAGTCATCTCATAGAAATCTAATAAGCTAACTGTTTTTACAAGAAGCACGGTGAAATTTTGAATCACTAACCCTTGGACACTATACAATGATAAATTGTATGGTTTAGAGATTATTACATGACATCTCTATATAAGGATAAATTGTATGGCTTGTAGATTATTACGAGACATCTCTCTCCAGTAATCTCCTCCATGCCTCTCTCTTTGATGTCTATGTCGTGCTACAGTCTAAAAAATTACCCATCAATCGTCATCGAAGTGATTACCACCTCAACAGAAGTTACTACTGAGCGCCACACTATCCCTGCCAAAAGTGCTAATCATGAACCTACATATGTCACTTTAAAACTAGCCCCAAAATATTAAGCATGTAAAGCTATCCCTTCATGCCAAATTAATAAGGCTCTCTTTCAAGAACTCTAAGTATAATGAAATGATATATGATCTTCGTATTCTAATATTAAGATTCATCATCTACAATCACCGACTAGAGCATTTATATGCTTCAATCGGGACCCTACTCTGGCTTTTAACATTTTCTTTGTGGGTGTTGATTGTCTGATAATCGAAATCGCTGGCCTGCCAAACCATTCCCAAGTGCGCTAACTTCCCTTACACGCCCATCTTGTCCGCATATATACAAAACACCTCAACATCCTCATCAACCTATCTAGATTTTTTTTTTTGCTTATATTTTGTCATATGGACCTCATATGTACATGACAATCATCTTTACATTTCTTGTATTAAGAAATCTATTTAGGTGTATTTAGACTTTGACATAGAGTCTTGTCAGGATATGATCATATAGCTCAAGCCTGACCACCACAAAGAGGTCCAAGGCTCGATACCTCCCTCTTCCCCCTCTCCAATTGACATTTATGTGGCACTTCAGTCCAAAAAAATCACCCACAAAATTTATTCATTAGAGTGATTTAACACCTCAGCAAAAGTTACTGCCAAGCGCTACACTGCCCTGCAAAAGTAGGGAGATTGATAGAGCTGGTCAATCACGAACCTTCATGTGCCACTTTATAGCTGGCCCCGTAACGTGAAGCATGACAAACAATTCCTTTCTGCCATATAAATAAGGCTCTCTACCAAGAAACTCTAGGTATAATGGGATGAGGTATGGTCTTCGTATTCTAAGAGTATGATTCATCATCTACAATCACTAACTTGAGCATTAAATGGGCTCTAATCCTGACCTTACTTTGACTACTACCTTTTATTTTGGTGAATGCAAGCTATCCGATCATTGGACCAAGGGTTGCACAACCTTCCCAAGAGTTGACTATC